CATTTCGAAATAATCCGCATTTTCTTGTGCGTATGACAAACTTAGTTTTTCCAGCCGTGAGTCTTTCAAGCAGACTGGAATTGCATTTGAGCAAAAGTAAAAGACGATATAAAATAATAAATCATCTAAATTGATTTAGATGTGAATATTAGGCATGAAATTACCTCACCTTCAAAATGACAAAAAAAGAAATCCGCGTGATGTGTAGCAAAAAGCAACCTACTGGGAATTGTAATAATAATAATTCGTAGTCAGTCGGACAAAATATACTGCGAGAACAAACAAACCTTTGTACAAATAGTGAAATGGCGGCTATTTGACGTGAGGTATTATCATTGTTTACATTCACCTAATTTCCTTATCGTAATTATCAAAATGTTTTGATTGTTTTTCAGGTATCTCTCGATCTGGGTATACCTCAGAGAACTTCGAACTGAACCCTAATCATCTATGTGGACAGATTCTACTCGTTTTGCTGTTCATGTCCAGAGATATCTCGCTTTGTTTTTCTAAGTACCTCTCAGTTATTGCTTACTCTGTTTTCATTGTCTGAAGCTACTATCCAGCCTAGAGATTGATCTCACAATTACTATGCCGATAAATTCAGGGAAAGAGGAAGTAGAGAAGAGAAAAGAAAGGGGGAATAGAGAAGTGAAATGAAAGTAGAGAATGAAGGAAAAGAGGACGTAGTGAAGGGAAGAGAAAGAGGAAGTAAAGAAGTGAAGCGGGGAAAGAAAGTAGAGAAGGGAAAGAGGAAGTAGAGAAGTGAAGGGAAACAGGAAGTATAGAATGAAAGAGAAAATGGGAGAGAAAGGAACACAAGATGAAAAGAGAGAAAATAGAGATGTAGAAATTCTGAGTCATTAAAAAAATGGCATCGTAGTTTCTCAGAAGGTCAGACCAAATTCGGATGACGCAAACTCTCGAAGAGACTGGTTAATTTAAATCACTGTAAAGAATAGAAGTTTCTACACGTCTTCGGGCAATTACAAACACACATTTTTTATCTGAAAGAATTTATTTATTTTGTATATTAAAAAAAACGGTGAGAATACAGATTAAAATCGTCTCCGGTTTACATTTACAAAGAATCTGCATAGCAAAACCCGACTTCATGAATTTAAGCAAAGTCTTAGATTGATCGTTAAAGTCACATAACTTCATTGTTGAAATTTTTCCTTTTAACCGCAAGTTCTATGCTAATAATTTTTTCTCTCGCACTTCTCGTTTGTGGAAATTTCTCCCAGCTTCTTACTTTCTTGTCTGCTACTATCTTCAAAAATTTGAATTGTAATCTCTCCTTGAAACCTGTTCTTTTATTGTCCTCTTTGTTTCTTTCATTCTCAATACCCCCCTTGCATCTCCTTCTGATTTTTATCGCTTTACTTGAAGTAAAATGATTAAGCAAGAGAAAAGATAAGAAACAATCAGAATCTTAACAAATTTATCTTTCTATCCTTATTTACTAACCTTAATTTAGTCTGGCACAAGGTCACACTTGTGGCGGGGTGGGGGGGACACTCAATGAAGGTGAAATTCATGAGAGTAATAATAGAGTGTCGGATTAGATTGCTTACTATTGCTGCAAAGTGAGAGGCCCAATTCAGTATGAATGGGTAGATACTGAATAGTCTAAGATGTTGAGTCAGAGTTGTGGAAACTGACCGGCCGACAACTTTTCAGCATCTCCTCGTATATACCTCCACATACATGTTTGTGTTTATGTGTATATGGAGATGGTCCGAAAGTTCCCTTACAAGAATGTAAAACAAAATCACTCTTTTTTTTGTTCGTGTTTACAATTACCTTGCTTAACTTCGTGTGGCACATTACAGTGAGACACTCAGTAAGGATCGAAATCACTACGCTTGCTTTAGTAGGTTACTTATCATTGTTCTGCGTCAGGTGCTTTAGATTTCATGTCTTTGAATCTATCATGGATATCAAGAAATGTTTTTCTGCATCAATTTTGATTTAATGAAAATTAATTTGGTTGGTTGAGTTTGTTTAGCGGCATATCAATGTCCATGGATTATTTAATGCCGAAATCTAAATATTTTTAAGACAATTTAATAACTTTACTTAAATATATTTTGAACGCAATTGTATGCCTTCAACTTACAGATAAAATGTATTGTTGGTAATTCTACTATAAAATGTATTGTTGATCATATTGCTTTAAAATTGTATTGCTGGTCATTTGACTATAAATATATATTGTTGGTACATTTTTAAAAAATAGATATGCAATTTCTTTACATAAAAATGTATATTTTATAGTGTTTTATTTTTGTTTGGGGGAGTTCACTATGTGCCCATAGCTGGGACCCTAACAGGTGCTACCACCCAGAGTGATGGAGGGCCTGCGAACAACAGCAATTAAGAGGTGGTTCCATTTTCCTCAAAGTCTTCCGATCAGAGATCTTGCTGTCCGGTGTAGTTTATCGTCATATCCAGGACTTATTGAAAATTAAAGTCCAATTTTTTGCTGTCGACCAACATTTTCTTCAAATATTTTGCAATGGAGAAGAAGAGTATGAATTTTCTAATAGAGCTTTGAAAAACTGGAGGATTGAAAGAAAGTCTCTCGTTATATTTGAAATTGACAGATATCGAAAACCTACGATTCATTGTACTTTGTTAAAAATCGATTTCGCCCCAACAAGACAGTAAAACCACTGAGACACAAGCGGTTACAGTAGATAGCAATTGACATTGCATTTAATTTTTTTTTAAATTAAAGTTAGCTGGAAAATATGGAGCCGGAAGGGTGTTCCACAAGCGAGAAGTGCGAGAAAAGAAACTGTTAGCATAGAATTTACGGTTACATCTTAGATAGTTCAATTGTAGACTGATGAGACCTCGTCGCCAGTCTACTACTGCACTTAAAATCAAAGAGTCTGGTTACCATAGCGAGGCGTTCATCGGAACAATTACCATGAAAGTATTTATAGAAAAGGCACAGGGAGGCGAATTTACAGCGCTGGGAGAGAGACTGAAGCCGAGTCGCCAGAACAGGGCCAATAATATTGCTGATTTTTGTTTGGATTTTATAAGGGGCCTCAAGGTAAATAGCAGGAGCACCGGATCAAATATGGCAGCAATAGATAAAATTGTCTCACACGACACAGTGAACCAACTTAGCAGCTGACCTAGCAATGGATTCAATATCGTCTTTCCACTTCATGTCAGCTGAGAATATTAGCCCGAGAAGGTGTACTGTGATGGTTGGGTCAGAGAGCAATTAAGTTTTGGAGGTGGCGTATTATCAACAAAAATTGCAAAGTCGGCATTAGTCTCGATAAGCTTAGCCCCGTTTGGTAAAAGCTCATTAACTATTGGGAAATCGTCGAGTAGTAATGATTTCAAAGACGAGTTAATAATCTACTAGTGACATTACAGTGCCTACCGGGATTATTTTTAAAACATTTACTATTTTAGATGCATTTGCCAAATCTTTTTGGCTACTGCCGGTTAGGTAAATTTAGTTTCATTGAACTCATTGAACTTATGATCGTCAGTAGAGATATTTGTATTATTTTTGCTACCACCTGGAATTGTACGCAATTCTACAAGTGTTGACAAGAATTCTACAAGTGTTGACAAGAATTCTACAAGTGTTGACAAGAATTCTACAAGTGTTGACAAGAATTCTACAAGTGTTGACAAGAATTAACTCATGACTTTCATCTTCTCTCACACTCTGCTTCTGTCTTCTCATTCTGACTTTTACAATTTTCATTGTCTGTCCATATTCTTTCTAAATGTTATGCAAACATAGATTAGGAAGAGGAAATGCACAAATATTTTCGACGGAATCCTATTTTTATCTTTCTTTTGCAATTTTATGTCTTGCCATTGCAACCTGCCTTTGATCATCGTCACTTGATACCCAGACAGAAAGTTTATCGTTCGTTCATTTCCGCCTCTTTCTTTTTTTTCTCACTCCTCCTCACTCACTCACTCACTCACTCACTCACTCACTCACTCACTCACTCACTCACTTTATCTATCTATCTATCTATCTATCTATCTATCTATCTATCTATCTATCTATCTAACCCTACCTTTCACCTGGTTTTCTTTACTTTTTAACTCTATTTATTACCTCTCTTATTTTTTCTCCTTCACGCTCTTCATTTCTCCATTTTCTTCTCTGCATTTTTCCCGTTCCTTATCATTTAATATTATGTAAATTTCTCGGCTAGAAAGTGTAACTGTTTCCGTTTACGAAGAGCCATGCATTGAGCAGATACTACACTCTGATCCTCGGTATAAAACCCTAATGGTTCTATATACAAACAAGCAGAATCTGGGATATCTTGATTAGTCTCCTTATCATTGTTGTGATTTTTCACATAATTCTGTGAATTTGTTCTTATGAAGCGATTCATCATTATCTTTTTTTTCCAGACAAATGTCTGTCGCACTGAAGACGCTACAATCATTTACCAATCAAATGAAACACAAAAGTTGATGTGGGAACTTCAAAAATTCATTAGATTTTGGAAACGGATAATAAATGATCGAAAACGCGTCCATACAGACGCACACATGCGAGCATATAAAAAAAGCGAAACGCACGCACAAAGAAACATAGACAGTGACGCTGAGAGGGACACACAGACAAACGCACGCACACACAATCACACACACACACACACACACACACACACACACACACACACACACACACACACACACACACACACACACACACACACTTCTTTAAGGCAAGACTTTCTCCAGTCATTTATGTAAAGCATTTGTGTCACATTAAGCGAAAAAAAATGACGTGAAATGCAATCAGTAAAATATTTTATTAATCTTTTTGTTTTTGTTGAAAACTGTTGTTTTCTTTTGAACTGACAAAAATTTAGATACTTATTGAAATGAATATTTTACTTATATTATATCAGACAAAGTATATCAGACAAAGTGTCCAATTTTGTTAATTTAACACCAAATTGAACATAATACTGACAAAATTCAGCCAAGTCTTACATTTGACAATATGAAGTTTGTGTATAGCTGTGTGTGTGTGTGTGTGTGTGTGGCTTGGTGTATGTGTGTGTGTGGCTGGGTATGTGTGTGGGGGTGTGATAGATAGATAGATAGATAGATAGATAGATAGATAGATAGATAGATCTGCATTTGTATCCTCGTATATTGGATACAGTTATATGACTATATTTGCAAATGGAAAAACGTTGCTCTACACACATACTTCATTCTATACACATGGTAACATAGAACATTAAACGTTAACTTTTCTGCCATTACACTGTCGTGTCATTTCTATTTGTCGGTTTGGGAGTGACGCTATCATTTTGCCCGCCGATTGTAATCTTCGCGAAACTTCGTGAGTATAAGCAGATAAGTAAACTTTTAATTTTATTTGTTACTAGTAATACTTAACCTGTTGATATTAAGTATTATTATTACAGATTATTTGCGTTAAAGACGTTATTTTCCAGAAATACTAGGGTCGACCTTCGTTTAGCGAAAAAACAATCTGTTTAATATATAAACATACATGTGAACAAAAATTTAATCCCACGGAATTTATATATTGTTTTAAAAAAGACAGACTACATTCCTGTATTTTTTTTCAACGAATATCTTTGAAGAAGTCTTGGACAAAAAAAGGTTCCTTTTAAAGAACGCGCTCCGTCATTTTTAAAACAATGTGTGTATGTGTGTGTGTGTATTTCTAAAGAGTTAATGAAGTTTTGTTCTAATCCGAGATATTTTTATTACTAAAATCGTTATATTTCATTAAAACGTCAGTTTTTTTAGACAATGTTTATTTGCCTACCGACCTGAGCATTCGAGATAACTTAATAAAGTAAATGTGTCCTTGGGCAGGATTAGAACCCGCATCCCACTTTAGATGAAGTACTACCGTCTGATTCGGTTATTGAGAGCTTCAAAGTCAGGCACAATCCATCAAAGACAAAGATCGAAATAAGACATAGGAAGTGGACAAGACCATCACAAGCGTATGTAGATGTACATTTTGGCATTAATCTGAAGATATGCATGTCTTTCGATAAAGAAAAAAAAAGACATTGAAACAAGTATCGATCCATTTTCTAATATCAATGCCTTCAGCTCGTGAATCAATTTTAATTGAAAGGGATTACACAGCATCGCCATCCTTTTCTTTCCTTGGCAAATCATTTGATAATTATAGGGGCTTTTTGGAAGATTGGGAATTTTCTTTAATTTTCATAAATCTTTTATGATTTTTTTTACTTTATCTCGTTAATATCTTTTATTATTTTATCACGTCTTTTTTTCTTGATTATAACAACTTTCCAGGTCGAATACTCTTCGACCTTAAAAGTAAGTGACGTAAAATAAGAATAAAAATATATATCCCAACAAGGCTTAAACGTGCATCACAGGCGCTCTTCATTCATGAAGAACCTCTTAAACAATTCGGTTATCGAATCTTATGACTATGTAACGTCTGATAAGAATACGAAACTGAATATTTCATACGTAAAGTTAACTTTTGAACGCCGCCAAATTAATGTAGTTGAGAGTATGCGGTTTCATAGACTTCGAAAATTCGATCTTCTTGTGAAAATGCGTGGGACTCTACCTTCCACCTCACTGTACGGGCTTTTATATAACTTACTACTAGTATTTATTTGACCTCTCCCCCCACTGAGTCAGGTTGTGACGTGGGGACCCAAGTGCCTTCACTCGGGTCACTGGTGTCTTGGCTGGTCATAGCTGTTCCAAGCTGGTCAGAGCCGGTCCAAGCTAGTCATAGCCGTGATACTACCAAAGCAGGTAGGTATCAATGTGTACAAACTACTCGAGAGAGCAATTTACATATATAACTTACTATTATCCGGTTGTCTTGTATGTGTCTATTCCAAGTTCAGCTGGGTTTACTTCTTGTTTTATGAATTTGGGCAGTCAGGTTCGACACTTGGTGGCTATAAGGCTACCTTCTAGGTGAAACCTCCGATGCCCCTAACTATTTTGATGTTTTGGTGTGACGCAGAGTACAAAGTTTACTTTGGTGTCACTCAGGGTGAGCTCAGTCCATATTACTTTATGGTGGGCCTTATAGGCTTACCATTCACCCATGCATTGAATAGTCATATCTGTCACCTCTGGTTGATGTTTCTGCTATTATTTAAAATTTTTTTATATAATCCCCAAAAGAAATCTGTAATGTTATCGGTCCTGACCTGGTATCTCGGCTTCAGTCACTTTCCCATCGCCGTAACGAACTCTCCTTGTGCCTGTTTTGTAAATATTTTCATGATAATTGTGCTAATTATTCTTGCACTTTACGAATTTAAGTGCAATACATGATTGGCAGCTAGTTCTTATCATTTTACAGTTGGAATTGTTAGATGTCTATGTTAATAGTTTCTTCTCTCGCACCTCTTGCTTGTGGATTTCTCTTCCGGTCTTTTGCTTTCACTCAACTTTGATCTCCAAAAATTGAAATGCTATGTCAATCGTCATCTTCAGTCTCCTTTAACCCTGTTCTTTTATTGTCCTCTCTTTTTATCACTGATTTCTTTCTCAGATTTTTCACACTCAGTAACCCCTTGCATTTTAGTGCCTGTATCGCTTGTTTGGAATGAAATGATTAAAAGATACATTGGGTTTCACCATAGATCAACTTCTCTTGGAACAAAAGTTCTTGATTTATATTAATTTCGATTCAAACTGGCGGTGTTTGACATGTTACAACAAGATAAGACATCAATTCATATGATGCTAGTCTAAATCTCCACAATGTATTTTTTTATTACTTAATAAATCTCCCTAATTACTTTGAATCAGGGGCTCAAGTGGGTGAAGATTGTTTAGTCTGTCATTCCAAAAGCCACGTTTATGAAGATTTTAATGAAACAGTTTATTATTGTAGAAGCCCACATCACTGACATTATTTTTTGAAAAAATAAACCTTGAAAAAATGATCGTGGATCTTTATAGTCACATCGCACCATACTTGCAAGTCTCTGTTTAGCGAGAACACAATTTCATTCATTTATCCTGCATAACTCCGAAATAAATTACGATTTACTAAAAGAGAGTAAATAAATAATTGCCAAAATGGCCGCTGATTCTGCAGTCAAAACTAGACAATTTACTATTCGCAATTTGCCTAAATTTCTCACTAACCTGGCTCTGGAAATGCTGACTCGTAGATAAAATCTGATGAACTTTGTCCTTTTATTTTTTATATTGCTTGTCACTTATCAATATATATATATATATATATATATATATATATATATATATATATATATATATATATATATATATATCGAAAAGATTTCCAACAACGTCACCATTTGTACAACGCAACATGGTTGTTTTGAAATTATTCACTTATTTGCTGAAATAAATTGCTGTAGTCTTTCGATGTTGTCACAGGAATTTAATGGAATTAAAATCGATTATTTGACTAACAGGACCGCATCAAAGAGAATATTCACCCCAGCCGCTTACTAGATATATGAGGAGTGCATCTTAGAAGCCAGTTTACATATGAAGCAGTGAAATAAGAGAAAGACAAAGTTCGCTTGTTATACTACAAATCGATGGTTCCATTTAATATGCATCAGTTTGTTTGAATATAAATTCCATGATTTATATGTTTTCCGTTAGACCCAAAAAATAGAAATAAAATATAATTTCTGCGTTGGGCTTATTTCCACTTCGTCAATCCTTAAATTATTCACATTGTTGACAGTATTTACATGATACCACCAAGAGATCTTTCGCGGGGTTCAATTTTTAACTATAAATTAGTATTTAAATTAAAGTGTCGAATATTTCTTAACCTTTAATGAATTAAATTTTTGTAATTTTCATAAATGTTACGGTTTGTGGGTAAGATCTACAGAATTTAAAGAACAAACATTTTATAAGACTAACGTACCCTATAAAATATATTTTGCTTAATGGAGAAGTATTTATTATCAATGACCCTGGTTAAGAAGTATCTCCCTTATTTATTTTATTTTTCTTAAATGAGCCACACACACACACATTCACACACACGCACACACACACATATATATATATATATGTATGTATGTATTAATTAATTCACCCCAAGCCAGTCGATAATGCCACTATGACGCAATGGGCTACTGCTACTAGGAGGAAAAGAGAATGAGAAGACTTTACAAGGAACCGGAAGAAGGAATAAACTTCTACTCCTGTACAAAAGACCAAAGAGAGGAATATGAACAAAACCATAGGGAAACCTATCTACCTCTATTAAATAGTCGAAGGATTTCTGAAAAGTTCTTATTCTTCATCCTGGGGTCGTCTTTTCTCGCTCCCGAAATTCGGATATTTAGCCACTGAAATGTTGATTTACAGAATGGAACAGAGATAGATAGATAGATAGATAGATAGATAGATAGAGAGTGAGTGAGTGAGTGAGTGAGTGAGTGAGTGAGTGAATATGTGTGTGTGCGCGCGCGTACGTTTAAATATATGTGTATGTGTGTGAGAGAGAGAGAGAGAGAGACAGACAGACAGACAGACATGTGCGTCGGTGCTGAAACGATCTCCAAGAAGTTCTTAAAATATGTTTAGTTATTTAGATTTTGGAAAGTAAGTTAATCTGAAAACTTTTCAACCCGCCCTTTTATATATTTGTACAAAGTTTTATCTGCCGATCCAATGTGATATCGGAACGTTGCCAGACAAAACCTAAGTACACTATTAGTCTTTCTTCTAAATACTCTTGCAAAAGGTATGACTCGACCTCTCCTCAATAGCAGGGAAAACTGGGTTCTCTAGCCTTGGTTGGTAATCAGTCTAGGAAGAGACAACTCTGTATTCAAAACCGGTTGAACGTACAGCTGGCAACTTCACTCCGTAGAAATGTAACAGCTACAGAAAGCATAGCAGTAAAACTTGGTGCAGTGAGGGTGTGACCCTATACTCGACAGGGGAATCTAAAAAGGTGGCATGACTTTAGTCAATAATATATTATAGATTATCATAATGTATCTGATTGTTTCAATTTGGCTACTGCCTATTTAGAAATATAGTCCTCCTTTTTAACCTTTGTTGACAAAGAGTCTAGGAGAGGTACAACTCTGAATTCAAAACCTGAAGAGGGGCGTTTGGAAACCTAGTTTCACACTAAGTGTATAAGGTTCATCGGAAAATGTGGTTGCTTTTAGTTTTTCACAACCTTCTCTACTATAATCAAATCATATATGCGCGTAGTCTGGCTGCTTGAAACTGAGTTGCATGATCCTCATACGCTGAAGTGTGTTTTGAACAATAAAAAATATTAAAAAACTGAAATAATAAAAAAGTTTTTATTATTTCAGTTAGATACCTCGATTAGTTTCAGCCAACATGGCCATCATCAGGAGAAAAAAATCTGCTTGTTAGTAGCAGTGAACTACAGAAATGAATGACTTGATGGAGAAAATGAACTTTATCTGTAGTTTTCATTTGTTTTTATTTTTATTTTTTATCATGAATTTTGGTCAATCTTTGTGTTAGTCAAACAGTCTATTTTAAGTTGTTATTTAAGATAAGGGCTGAACGGATTCATGCTGCTCTGAATTCCCTTTGACATTTTGACAGTTTTATTGGTTCCTGGAAAGGGGATGTGTCTCTCTGTTGAGTGAGTATGATGGGTGTGTGTTATCATTTGGCTCATTAGGGAGTGAGTGAGTATGATGTGTATAAGTGTGTATATTAGTATGGATGTGAGTATAAGTGTGAGGCCTCAACATCTCCGCAAGTATGTCTTGTATGGGTGAGAAATGTGGGAGGGTCCTGATTTGTGGGGTTATATATTAATTCTATCTATGTTGTTAAATTTGTGATTAAGTCCGTCTGGATGAAGCGTTCACAGACGTCGAAAGGGTGCTATGCGTAAATTGTCGCCATTTTTATTTTTAATTTTGCGCATGCGCCTTGTTTGTTTTTAATTTTGTCGACTGCACAGTAGGGTCAGATTAGAGGATTCGGAAAGAGTTGGATGAGACTAATGGCGATGACGAAGGTGTTTGGGGTGATCACTAGCGATGGCAATGCTATGCCTCCATTCACCTTCCCACAGGACCACAGATTCGACACGGAAGCCTACATCAAGTGCCTTGAGGAAGTAGTGCTGTCTTGGGTCAAGAGAATGGCTGCTGGAAGACCCTATGCACTATGCTACACAAGCAGGAGAGCCCAGTCATGGATGTCAGACAATTTCTGTGACCACATCATCACTTACATCTGGCCACCTAACTCCCCAGACTGCAAGCCACCATGATTAATAATTGTGGGGTGCAGTTGAGCGGGTAACCAACAAAACTTTTTGTAACACAAAACATGAACTGAAGGCAAGGATGATGGCAACTTTCACCAACTTAAAGGAGACCGTCCAAAAGAGTTGCAGGAGATTCCAAAGTCATCTGGAGACTGTGGTTGAAGCCAATGGCTATTTTATTGAATAAATTTACTCTTTAGTATTTCAGGATATTTTCGTGTGATTTTGGTAAACATATCTGTTAAAATGAGATGTCAATGTTATTTTAATTTTGCGTAATTTAGACATGATTTATCCATCGCATCTTATACACACACACACACACACACACAACACACACACACACACACACACATATATATATATATATATATATATATATATATATATATATATATATATATATACACTGTACTTTTTAATTGTGTTACTGGTCGATATTCTTTATTTGGAAAGAGAGACGTGTCACAACCGACGGAGACGCTCTTTTTTGTTTGTTGGCCCCTTTAGGGATAGACGACATGATTGACAACCGACTAATTTCTTTGACCGCATCTCTTCTATCAGTAGCCACTTTCCTATGAAGAAGTTATTGAAAGAAGTGATGAAATCTATTCCAGAAAAAATACTTTCTTTGTTGATTGCAAACTAAATCTGTCTTTTGTAACAGAAGCAATTGCTTTATTGGTTCTTGGCTATCACTTTCTTCTTCACGTTCTATTGACTCTAGAAAAAATTTACTGAAGACTTCAGTCTCTTGCTTTATTTATATTGCTTATATTTTGCCAATCTCGATTATAAATCTCGTAACTTTCACAGTATTTCCCTCATATGTTTCAAGTTTGGAGACGTCGACTATTATTTCCTGCTGGGGATTTTATTTTAACTTGGCTTATATCTGATCATTGTATTCAAGCAGGTAGTAGTTTCTAATATATTGTCGTTGTTGTATCATAAAATATCCACAAGTCAAAATGTGTTCAATCCCATATCGTGTAGAGATAGACCAATATGCAAATTATTAAGATTTTTGTGTGAACAGATGTTATTTACTCATCTCCCCACGCTGGACACAAGATGTGGCACAAGACGTGGCACAAGATGTGCAGCTGCTTTAGGCTAATACAAAAATTTCCCAGTCCTCGCGATCACTGTCACCCTGGCATCGATAATCCGCCTCTTTTTTTTTTTAACAGGGGTGGGTGGGGGGTCGAATCATTAATTCTAATTATTATCTTTATGTTAATATTTAATTTTGAATAAACAATCCATTTTTTTACGTAACTTTTGGAGTCATTCATATTTAGCGAAATACTTTAGTTAATAATATGAATTTGTTCAAATAATTAATTTATTTAAGTAAGTACACCAATTATTTATAACATTTTATGTATTTTTATGAATATTTCTTGATGATTTCAGGTACATTTATTGCTAAAAATATATATATATATATATATATATATATATATACACACACACACACACACACACACACACACACATATATATATATATGGTTATACTGCTAATATATAAAATCAGCCCACCCGAAAATAGTTGGGTGCAACTGAGACGCATCCTCAAATGGGGGATTAGCAATTTGAAGGGGAATGGACATGAAAAGGACCGTTTTTGTGTTCTCAATCTTGTTTTAGCCTCACGCTCAGCAGCAGTTGAAGAGGCGTTTCTCCTCAGCTATTGAGTCCTTTGATCAGCAGTTTCAGTTTCACGCGCAGCAGCTTTTGAAGAGTCGCCTGCCCAATAAACTCTAGGATAACGCAATCGACCCATAATGCGACATTGACATATATAAACAGTGGAGCCAAAACACAACACATATGCCGTGAAGATTGTGTTGATGCAAGAAACGGACTATCGCCGTTTGGTGTTGATCTCAGTGTCCACTTTTATATATATGATGTATGTTTAAATGTTAAAGAATGAAGCCAAATTACAAATACACACACACACACACACACACACGACATACGCAACACATACATACAATACAACATACTCAACACACACATAAACACGCACCTCACTATATACCCACAATTCAGCAGAACGTTCACATACGCACATCACTAACAAGAAGCATGAGACAAAACCGCTCACACATCTGTTCTATAAACTCCAATGTAATATTTGCATTTTAATATGCTTTTTCGTGCCAGACTTTCACTGGTGTGTGTAAATCTTCTTAATGTCTTTACCTCATCAGTACATTAACGTTAATATCGCCCGTTGTCACGATTTCACTAATAACTAACGATATGGCACGATTTTTTTTTTTACAGGAGAAACATCAGCACAGAAAAGTTGCTGTCTACAAATCCCTTATTCTTTTGGCTGAATTGTGTCGTTGCAGTAAAAATCTTTGCTAGACAAACGACAAAAAGCACACGATACAAATTACATATGATGCGGTTTTATACAAGTTATAAAAGGCTATTTTATATAAGGATTCTCTTTTTATTTCTGTTTATAGAAAAAATAATTTTAGTCAAATGACTCATGAATACAGAATCAGTTTCCATTTACAATTGTCTTTCTCGATCAATAACAATCACGGAAATAAAAAAAATCATCATTATTTTTGCAATCTGTCAGAAACTTGTAAAATATTTAGTATGACCAGAATAGTCAATAAAGTTTATTAAAACAGCCACAGACGACACTGAAAATTTAAAAAAGGCAAATAATTGACTTTTACACTTCTGATTTATGTTGTCTAAATAGGTACCCAAAAAACGAGGTGTCACTTTAAAGAATATTCTATCTATCTATCTATCTATCTATCTATCGTGATGGTTTTTTTGTAATGCATATACCTACTGTGTATTCCTATAAAAGACCAAAAATATGTAAAATATGCTGAAATATATGTATTCATTTATGTATACTCGCACACACACACGCACTCGCACACACACATGCACATATAGTTTAGTTTAGATACTAACTATAATGTAATTTGTATTTACACACAAATATATATATATTAAAAATAAAATAATGTTACAAATATACCCGAAATCATTTCTTATAAAACACAAAACGCGAAAAGTTACAGTGCATTATAATAAAAGCAAAAACCTGTTACGTCCTGACAAGCTAAAATGCAGGATCTTGAACGCTGATTTCTAAAGACAGATTCACATCTTTAGAAAGATGAATGCAACAAACTCATTCTTTTCTAAGTTCCTAATATACAACTAGGCTGGTAAACACACACACACACACACACACACACACACACACACAAACAAATCTCTCCTATGACCAACCCCTTTTTCTTTTTGTCCAAAAAAATCTAGTCAAACTGAAAAGAATTTCACATTCATGACAGAAAAGAAAAAAAGATGAAAAATATTCCATTTTCAATTCTATCAATCCAAACAAATAGTGCGCTTTGCGCTTTGATTTCGTAAATCCGACTTGATTCATGTCGAATATTTATCTGAGCTGTACTTCTTATTGGCCTGATTGTGGTAAAAGGCAATTCCTTACCTACATAGACATATAATCTTTGTCTATTTCTTAGTGACCGACTGGACATGAGCGCCTTTATCCTCTGCTTTGGATGCTAAGAATGCGCCTTTCATTTGATGTTTTCTCTTCAACCTCAGCTTTCAAAAGTTGCTACTTTGGAAGGAAATAATTCCAAAAATAAAATGCAAGACATTTCCGTTATTATTTGGATTCTTTGTATGACTGTACATGTTTGCATCTACTATTTTTTAGAGAAATACACGTACAGGTGCAAGTTATTGAGTGCATAGTTACATAGCAATATATATGTACATTCCAATATACGTATGTATATTCAATTTGTACGTATATATGGGAATATAGACGTACATTTCAATTTTCGACCAATAACTTCACATGTACTTCTGTACTCATGTTTCTAAGTGCACCACATCATATATATATATATATATATATATATATATATATATATATATATATATATATATTTATATAAATATATATATGTACCTCTAAAGAATCGCTAAAAGATGAGCATACATGATAAAAAAATGATCAAAAAAATTAATAAAAACAATGTTTTATCGTCAAAATCTTTATGTTATTATTAAGAGAAAAGACCAAAGCATTTTTTTATTATTGAATCATATCTTTTGTTCCTTTTTAGAACGTTCAACATTTTGTTTACTTGCGTCAGCGGGGTACCATAAGTTAGTATATAGGGTATCTAAAATTAGTATAGGAAATTTTAGCGTCTTTTTAGCGGTTAAAAAAAAAACACATTCATTTAGAAATTTTTACAAAATCAAATAACTGTCGGCTTATAATAAAACTTCCAGGACTGTATGAATTTATTTTTAAAAAGTTTCTCTTTTAGAAATCTTGAAAAAAAATTTCACATTTTTTTTATACTTGTTTAATTTTATGAAATCTCGAGAAATTCATTTTTGTACCGCTTAATGTTTATATCAGTTCTAAGCAGAACTTTGAGAATTAAAATCATCATTTTATTTAAAATAGGATCCCCAGTTACCGAAAATCTGGTCTGAATTGTAAAATAAAAAAATGCAATAAAACTAAGACAGAAAATATTAATAGAAAATATTTTAATTGTTGAAAATAAAATTATGAATTAGATACATTTTGGACACTATTAAGAAAAAATATTTCAATGAGTAATGAAGTTTTACAAGATTTGTTTTCATTTTTTAAAAATTTTATTTAGAATAATTTATAAAGTTTTAAATTAATTTATACAATATAGGTGATATTGTTGTTAAGTAAAATATATATATATTAATCATAAATGGAAAATCTTGCTACAATTCATCGACCACCAGTATTTTAAAAAGAATTTTGAATTTATTTTTGTGTGCATAAACGTGCCGATTTTTGCAAATACGGACGTCTATAGACGATAAGAGCGGTAACTATAGTAAATTTAAAGCCAAAATACCTAAACTTCAATAAACATTAGATTACGGAGAATATTTTCTTAAATTTTAGAGCATGAGTGAAATGGGATGAAAAGGGAGATTCGAATTCTGGGCGTGCAGTCAACCAATCTAGAAGATTGCAGAATGTCATTATGGACCCAAATTTCGAAATTCAAGAATATTGTCAAATCGATACTAAAAAGAATTGAGACGCTTCTAAAGGCAACATGGCATCCAGCCTGATAGTCAAGTTGTAGAAGAGTCTACCTAATCAAGTGACCGGTGAGTTTCTATATTGATTAACATATGATATACATATCTACGGGGCAGAGTGTTCATCATGCTCATAGAAATCGAATTGCATGCGGACTATTATTTTCAGACCTCAATGCGATCTTCAGTCCAATATATTTTTATAGAGAGAGCGCGATGAATAAGTTGTCATCTAAATTACGCAAAAATGAAAATAACATGGAATTTTAACAGATATGTTTACCAACATTACACAAAAATATCTTGAAATACTAAAGAGTAAATTTGTTCAATAAAATCGCCATTGGCTTCAACCAAGGCCTCCAGACGACTTTGG